AAACCTTACTAAAGCTTTAGGACCATTTGATGCACACTATGTAGGACTTTTAAAAATTTTCTAGATTAAAAAAAAAAGGTTGCCAGAAATAAATGCCTAGTTACTTAGCTCTTTTACTTAAATTGGCTTATGGTTACATATATTTAAAGGACTGTTTATTCAAAAGAATATGAGGTTATGATATGAAAATTAGTACTCCGTTGTACTTCCAGTATATCTAAAGAGACTTGCAGCCCTCAAACTCTTCCAGTCTCTTCCCTCCCTGATTTAAATGTCATACTTTAGGCTGAATATGTTTAGAGGCTGCTGTCACTGACTACCGTGTAGAATACAGCAATTAATTTACTAATGTTCCCTTTGGTATGGATGACACAATTGGAAATCTGTCCAGGTATAGACAATTATGTAGAGGAAGAGAAACATAATCCTCCTGTCCCTGGAGTGACAGAACATTATTTGCCACAGTTCCTCTGTTTCTTCTTGTAAGAGTCAGCAAATACTTCATTTTCTTTCATTTTATTTCCTTTCAAGTCATGGTCAGAGTAGAGGATTCATTTGTTACCTCCCTCCTTTAAAATCTGTGAAAGCAGGGCTGGGCTGCTTCACTTTTTAAAGACTGTTTATTTACATTAATGACTTTTAATTAATAAGTTTTCAGCAGTGCTGAGGACTCTACCTGAAGCTGGGAAGGGGTGCAAATCTGTGGCAGAACCTGAGCCCATTATGCAAAACTCTTCATGCAAATATTAATATTTGGGATGGTCAGCTCTGGTGAATTTGCTTTTATATAGGTTTTGTTTCTGAGCATAATCTCTGTCCATCAAAAAGGAAGGAAAATGATGTGCAGTGAACAATGCCTGGGAAGACTGATGTGCAATGCTTTGTCCTGCTCCGGACTTCCCAAGTGGCCTGACACAAGCTGCTTAGCTTTGTGTTTTTATTATCCAGGCACATAGGGAAATTATATAAAATAAAAAGACTGGAGGACCCTAGAAGTTATTATAATGGAGATCATGTGTATAAAAATACCACAGAAATAAGTGCAACTGGCAAAGAATTAAACATGTTTTCATACCTTGCAAAAAAACCCTAATTTATCTTTGCAAAGGGATTTATTGTCCTTTGCTGAAGCTAATAGATGTCAGTAGATCTGTCTGTACTTGGAGGCTTTCAGACTTTACTACCTCTAGAGGCTTTTTTAGTTAAATCATAGAATCTTAGGTATTTAAGACTAGGCAGTATCCTATCTGTGAGTGAAGCACACAGCAGACATGAAGCTGGTTTTCAATCATTTAAAATACTGGTCTATAGCAATTTGGAAAATCCCATACGTAATTTCCTCTGTGAGACAAATGAAGTATCATTCTGCTGAGAGACAAAAATTTCTGTGCATGTGGTTATTACCCTAGCTAAACAGGGAAGCTGTAGGAAAACCAAGAAATCAACTCGGCAGATCTAGGGAAGCATCTTCCCAACAAACATTTGTGGGTAGTTACCAAATTTATTAAATATACTTCCACATTCATGGTCCCAGCTGAAGCTATTTTGCAAGAGATAAAGTGGGCACAGGTGACTTATTAGCAATTTATTGCTGTAACAGAGAAGTGGCAAGAAAGAAATGCTCAAAATCACTTCTGAGCCCTGTGGGTTCATCAAGGAGGTAACCCCAGAGCCTTTTCAGCTGCCTCTTGCATTTCCCCAACTACAAAACTTATTTGGGGCTGCTAACACAGCCAGCTTTTGAAAAGCAAGGAAGGAAAAGTGGAGATGTTTAATCCTATAATGCCTCTTTTGCCCTTTTTCCCTGCTTCCGACTCACTGAGGTTACAGTCACCTCATCACCCTTTCCAACCTGCCATTCTTGTTGGCTGTGTGCAGGACATCTGCAGCTTCCCTGTAACTGAAACCTTCTAAGCAATTTCTTTCTCTTCCTTTATCTCACCTGGGAAACAAGAGACCGCATTGCAAGCACAGTAATGAGTTTAAGGATGTAATTTGCAATAGCTTTATGTATTTAATAGAAGTATTTCATAATGATTTTGATACTTTACCTGTCAGAGTCACAACCCTTTTAATAATATTTTGTTCCTTTGTACTTCAGTGCTGGCCTGCCCACTCTCCCTCACAAGAAAATAAGGGTGAGAAAAGGAAAGAAAGCAACTGAGTAAGATCTTTTATGCTCACAAGAAGATGTGTCATCAGATTAGTTTCAAGCTCTAATGAAAGTTTAAGTCATTTCTTACTTAGTAGCATTGCTCTACTTTCCCTGAACTAATTCATTCTAGAGGCGAAGTTTTCTTTAAATCTTTCTTGGCTATGTTTTAACCTACTCACAGAAAATACAATATTCTAGTGATTTTGAAAGACCTGTGGTTTAGAGGTCTATGGAGTTTAACCTCTTTGGTCTCGGAAATTAATTAGTATTAACGCTTTGCCTGGTCTCTGTGTATCCAGGATTGAACTAGACAATAAGACAATTGAACTTGACAATACCTCTGATTTGTAAACACATTTACTTGGGCTTTTAAATCCTATGGCTAACCATGTAGTAAACTGCTGAGCTGACATGGAGTGCCAATGAAACTAATCAAACTGTGAGAACTGCTTTTCATTATAACCATGGATGTGGCATTTTTCTGGACAGAAATATTGTATATGGACTGCCCAATAAGCCTGTGGGAACCCCATGAGATACATTGCAGGTGTGCAGACAGTCTTTGCAGTAAACACTGCTCCATTCTATGCACTTAAGAGTATATCATTTCAGCTTTAAAAGTTACCATGTTTTTAATTCAGATAGAACAAATGTTAAGTGTTATTCTTACTGAGATCTGAGGATGTAGCAGCCGAAGAGAGTTTTTGCAGAACCTTTCCATAAACAGTGGCACTGCTATTGCTGGCATTGCCATATGGATTATGGAGGGGGTCACTGGTGAGGGGTAGATGTGTTTTGACTTCACTACAGACATTTCCAGTATTTGGAAATACTCTGTTAAAATTTATATAGCTTTCTTATTCTGTAGAAGATATAGATGTGGTATTATACACACAGTATTACCAAGCGTTTTATGTAGCTGAATCCACAAATGGAGTAGATTAAGACACCTCCAAACCTTGTCTCACAGCTGTGTCAATCACCATTTTCATTGCTGTCTTCATCCAATTAAATCTATGTCCTCTTTATGGATATTGGATGAGACTGTGTAAGTTCAGGTAAGTTCAGAACAGCATCACTCAATGATACAGCTCCCTGTTTCGGTCAGATAGAAAGACCTTAAAAAAGCAGGAAGAACATTTCTAGAGTTTTCTTCCATCTATTAAAAATGCAGAGAAACAAATTAAAGGTATTTTCTCAATGAATAGGAGAATATTTGGAGTAATGATTCAAATCATGCTCTTGCTGATGTACTCCAGTCCTTCAAATGAAAATATCTCCAGTGATATTGCCAGTTCCCCGAAGTGTTATTCCCTTAAAACAAGGTTTACTCTCTTCATTTACATGAATAAATATGCTGTTAGAACTTAATGTTTGGGTTTGTTACATTGAAGAAGTATTGGGCTGCTGTGTTCACTTCCCAAAATTTTTGTTTAAAAACAGGAGTTTCTTGTATCAGGGTACTAAAACTGGGATGTGTCCCATCGTACTTCAAACATTTACAGTGCAAACTGCTGTGTATGAGCTACTGAGTCGGGGTCCCTTAGTAGTCAGTTATGAGAAATGAGTGCTTTAAGGCTTTGATGTACCTGGCCTAGCTTAGAAATTCAATCTGTGTCCTAGAAGTGCCTTTTCTTCTCTGCCAACATTCTATCCACACTGTGAATAATATGTTTGCACAAGTGAATCCCATTCTAGGTGTCTGCATGCAGTCTCAGAGCCTGATAGGTGTAATGATGCTTCTGCTTGCATGTAAACAAGAGTACATTTTACTTTTTGATTTGCATGCCCTTTTTCCCTCCCTGCCTCCCTCCCTTTCTCTCTTACTGAGCTCCATCAACAGGTAAGCTGCACCTCAAACTTGGTACTTTAATATGTCATTATTCAAAAGGAAAAGTTTTTACTGATTTACTTTATAAATATGCTAACAGTATTTTATATGTACTACCTAACTATATACACCATATTTCTCATTCTTAGAGATAAGATACTTCTTTGTATTAACAGACAGATAGACATGCAGATAAAAATACAGATAAACCAGATAAATTGTAGATATTTTAGATTTTCCTCTAATTCCCTCCATTTTGCAGGGGAAAAGGAAAAAAAATACATTTCTTTAAGATTATGAAAGGTTTACACTTCTGCTTTTAGTGCAACCCATAGCATAGACATTTTCAATTCCTTTGTCGGTTTTGGAGCAAAGGCAGTTTTCAAGGAGAGATTTACTGGAACAAAGTGAGGTAGCTGTGTGAATGTCGTTAAACCTTAGGAATTACATGGGGGACATTTTAATAGGGCTTTTTCAAAAATATGCCATCAATTTGGAGGAAGATGACTTCTTCATTTGAGGTAGCATCACTTTTTCCATTCCTTGGTCTTGCTCTGTTTGGGTCTTGCTCTGTTTGGATGCCCTTAGCATCCAGGTGCTATGAATCAAGCCTCAGAAGAACAGTAGGAAGTGGCTTTGAAAATAACTGGCTTTGTATGCTTTTAATTTGACCTTCTACAGTTGCTTTTGCAAGTCTTTTTTTTTTTTCTTTTTTCTTTTTTTTTTTTTTTCTTCTCATACTTAGAAGGATTACCAACATACTTTCTGGTCTTAGTGGAAGGTCTTAGTGGAAGTGAGATTCTTAAAAGGATTCGTGAGACTTCAGCAGTTGGAACTTTAGGAAGAATGTTACGATATAGTTGTGATTTAGCTGTTATAATCACAATATATTCACGGGAGCTAGCAGCTGTAAGACTGAGGTGAAGTTGAAAGTGTGCAGGAGAACCTCTACTTTCTCAAGCTACCTTGACCTAATAGAGCTTTGACCTTCTTCCTTTGGTGTTTCCTCAGGGGACCTTCTCCAGACCAGTAACACAGCACAGTCTCCTTGCTGACTGCAGCTGGATCCAGGTTTGGCTCTGGCAAAGCTTTAATTTTTCCTGCGAACTGATTTTCCTTCTGGATTTTTCCTGCAAAGCACTCTTGTTTTTCTCCATCCTCTGGTTTTAGAGGACCTCCTTCTCAGTTGTGCGATCCAAAGCTGCTTCTGAATGTTTCATCTGGAAGAAGAGCAGCCTTCCCGAGGCTAGTTTGTTGATGCCAGTCTGGACGTGCATGTCTTGCCTCTGAGCAAGCTGGGGTGCTCCACGTGCAAGTCTGGACCTATCTCTGACTGGAGCTCAAGCAAATCAGACTGGAGAGTAGTATCTCTTCCATTTTGACATGTGGGTCTTGTAATCATAATTTCTTGTGTGCCACAGTGACCATTTACATTTTGCAAAATGTCTCCCTACAGAATTAATTTTCAGCATTGGGGAAATATGGGCAGCTTTTTATAGTTTGATAATAATTTATCAGTCTCTCTCCTGCAGTCCTTTGCTGGCTGGCTGCTCTAAACGCACACAATCAACAAGAGAGCAGTGAACAGAAATATTTTCAAGAGCAGATGGGATGTACCTTCAAAAACCAGGATTGTCCCAGTGAAACTGGGACATCTGGCAACCCTAAAAAAACCCAAACTAGATGAAATAAAAATTATGAGATGGAGGAGCAGAAAAATATGTCTTTGCATTGATTAGCAGGCAAAGTAATTAATCTCCTTCAACTCCCCTTTCGGTACTTGGTGTAAAACAAGGAGAAATAGGGATATTATTGCTTTGCCAAGCATTAATTCTTGTATAGTGATTCCCGAGCTGTGTTCTCAAACTTAGATGGCATTTTTCATGTCCTCCTACTTTCCTGATGCCCCAAGCATCCGCAATAACACACCCCATGGCATTTTTAAATAAAGCAAGTCCTGCTGTCTTTGCTGCTGGGCCTCATTCAAAGCTTTCTTGTGTTAGAGTTTGATTCAAAGCACCTTAAAGACATCCTTGCTGAGAGTGTTCAAGACATCAGCCTGTCCCTGGCTAGGCTTGGAGCTGACTTTCCATCCTGGGATTGCTTTTTGACAAGCCTATATCTTCCTTCTCAAAACACCAGGCAAACTCTCTAGCCCCATCTCGCCCCACCTCTGCGGTTTCACGTGCATCATCTAGTCCCACAAGAGATTTTTTGGGGGAAAAAGTCACTAAAATACTAACTATGAAAGACAATATCAGTTGAAGTGTCAGTTCAAGTAATTAGCAATATATCTCGTTACAATGAATAAATAAATAAACCCCACAAAACAGAAGGCCAAATTAATTCAAAAATAATTTGCTTTGCATGGTAAGAATTCAGAAATGTTGTCTACACTTCTAGAATATAATAAATACTTACAGCATTTATACAGTCTCTAATAGAGTGGGTTCCTTTCCCTGGTTGGAGTGAAGAAAAAGACTGTGTTATGTTACAGCTGATAAACCCTTTGTGTCTATCATCTGTCACCAGCTCACCCAATATGCTGAAACTCCTGGTTCCAGTAAGGAATTATATACAAAAGAGGTGCTGGCCAGAACCTGCAGCTATTTTAATAAAAGTGTGATAAGGTGGAGGGAAATGTCTTTCTAAACCTCTTGTTTATGTGTAAGCACTGCAAGGTTTCACAACAACCCTATCAATCAAAACAATCTGTAACCTGTATAGATGTGTTTTTCTCTATCATTGTATGAAGTCTCCCTCACTTAACTTATCTGAATCATTGTGTTACAATATTAAATATGCAATTGTCCAAACTAAATCAGATTTCCTTAATTTCTGGGTTTTTTTTTTCAGTTTGGCCATCATGTTTTCTCAGTTTCATCTCATAACTGTCCTCCTAGTTTTATTTTGCTTTTTTTAAAATTTTTGTTTCCCTTTCTAAATATAAGTTCTTATCTTTACTAAAGCTATAAATCTAAAATCCTGAAATATAAAGGTCTTAAAATCTAAAAAACTAAAATCTTTCCTGAAGATTTATATTCCGTTAGTATATATTAATATATGTTTTGATCCTCGAATGAATGGAATATGTTTTTGGATAGAAAGTTTGTGTGTGTCAGTGTGTACGCAGTCTATTTGTCAGACAAAAGAGCCATGGCATTTAGGTAGTATATCTGAGGGTATCATTTGGCCTTCTGTGAAAGCAGTCACAGATGATGCTTGCAGGCACATGGAATAAGAGGGAGAAAACAGATGGCTCCCATTTACTAACTACATTTTTACTGAGACTTGTAAGAAGTTTTATTGTAGCATAGGCAAGTTTTTCCCAGAAAAAAATACAATTTCTCAGCAAAAATATTTGGCATATCAGATTTGCTTAAACTGACCAAATCCATATGCATTAATAATGTGAAATGTGAATTTTGTTAATATTTCACAGTGCAGACTGAATTTGTTTGTCCAAATTGAGTACAGATTATTAAGCCTTTTAACATTCTTTATATCCAGGTCCAGATTGATGAAGAATACCCAGGTCACTGGGGCTGTTTTTTAAAGTACTCCCATAGATAAAAAGACAGGGCTTTTTATGAGATACTTTAACTCATTCTTGGGTGAAAATAACCTCTACTGGTGGAAATTTGCACGTTAGTCAAGAAATGCCTAATTCTTTTCATACATAACTGTGTCCAAATGCTGTTGCCCTGTTTTCTCAGTTGAATCAATTTTCTTGCAGCCCTATTCTGAAGGGTTTTGGACACCTCAACACTAGAGTGTTTTGTTGATGTCATAAGCTATAAGATTGCCGGTTTTCCTCAGTGACAAGAAGATATAGACCAGGAGAATATTAAGGATGATGCTGCAAATGCTGAGTTATTGAAGGATAACAGAATGACTCCCAAATATTCAGTTTTATATCAATTGTTTCAACTATGGCCCTCACTCCAGTAGTATCCCCTCCTTACTTCTCCTTAGAAGTAATTAATAGGAAAGATCAAGTTAGATCAAACTAGTGATAGTAGAATCAGTTTCATCTTTTACGCACAGAAGATGTATTTGCTTATGAAAGAAAATAATCATCATTCTGATTTAGTAATAGATTCTGCCTTTCAATGTAAAAATTATGATCTGATTCGTGCTTATAAAACGAATTCGTGCTTTAGGAATCTACGGGGGACTTAGAGGATGAACACCCAGCTTTGTATGGATGGTGATATTAATCCATATTCAGACAACGAGAAACAAAATACGGTGGCCACAAAGATCCTGTAGATCATGCTAGTTTTGAAAATGTTACAGTACGATTTTTTAGTTGTCAGTCACTGTTTTGGATGCCATTGTCTACTCAGCTTTGTTATTGACACAGATTTGAAAGTAATCAAGAAGAAAAGGCTTTTTAATTGCTGAACAATGTTTCTCAATTGAAACACAGTAAGAGAATGGGAAAGTGGGATGTGGAAAAAAATAGAATGCCTTATAAATGTCCTAATTTAAAACAAACAAAAAAATTTAAAAGAATCCCAGCTTGTGAAAGCTGCATTCTCATAAGAATTTCAGTTCCAACAGAGCTCTATTTTTCACTAGGGAAAGAAAGTTCTTCAGAAATTTCCAACTGGACGTCTCAGGGGAGAGTGTAGTCACAGGGTCTGTAATTTATATACTGTTTTCCAAGTTCCCTGTAGCACTCTGATTTGGAATCTTCTGTGCAATAGAAAGGGGGGGAAAAAGAAAAATAGAGCCCAGAAGGAGCTTTTTGGGCTGTGGGTGGCAAAAGAGCAAGTATTATCCATTCCTCCTTCCAAATGATGTTTTTCATATTTCTGGTTAACTTCACACAGAATATTGGAAAAAAAATACTTTCAACACTTCCCTATAACTCCATACTCCCACATGTGCCCATAGATACGAACTCATGCATGTATGCAAGTCATCATTATTAATGACTCTCTTGTAGAAAAATGTTGTTATTTATTTATTTTTATCCAGAAATAGGTCTGAGAATAGCTCTGCTTCAGTGTCACAGGTCATCAACTTCACTTCTTGCTTGTACAGAAGGCATGCATGGCTTGAAAAAGCCATGAAAAAGCTGAGCTATCTGATTTTTTTTTTTTTCTTTTAAATGGGAGATGAGTAAGGAAATACAAAAATATCATTGAAGGAGAGCTAACAGGCTGCTGCCAAAAGATTGAGGTACTGGATCATGCCTGTACTTCAGGCTATGCATAATTTCCAGAGTAAGTGTGCCTTATCAGCGGAAGAGTTAAAGCCAGGCCGAATACTAAGCACGTGCTTTTCAGCCATGAGAGCATTTGCAAAGTGACTCCAGCTACTGAAAATACAACCTCAGATTTGTTAGCAGAATTCCATGTCCTTTACACTGGGCAAGATGTTATCCCTATAGTTATGGAAGAGTTTTAGCAACTGGCCTTTGGAATAGCTCTTTGCTGACTTGTACGGGGAATGTGGCAGGTCTGTGGGCTCCCATCATGACATTTATTGTACCCAGAATGTAAGGGCAAATCTGTCTACCCTAAAGTCTCATATGAAATGAAAGAATACCTTGAAGGATGTGATTTTTTTCCCCTATGGATTTTTCCCTTCATTGAAAGTAGAAAGCATCCCTATAAAACTAAGGACCTAAACCTAAGTTATACTAAGGCAGTGCAATGTCACAGATGTGTTGATATTTAGTGTGTTTATTAGAAACATTTGATGTTTGTTCCTCAAAAAAAGACAAGTCTCTTGCAAGGCATAACTTTTTTTCAAAATAATCTAAGGTTAACAGAAAAAAAGAGGGAGCAATTAGACATAGGGCTGGTTAAAGCATTTTCTGTTATTTTGCTCATTAAAAGTGTTGATCTGCTAAAAGCAGAGAATTTGGTAGGAATATTTCATTTTGTCTACTTCTTGAACTCTTTAGGATACACTTTCTTGTGAACTTGTTCAAAATGTTGAATTATAGCAACTTTAATTTTTTTTTTTCTGGTCCAGAAAGTCTTTCCACATATACATGTAAACAATTAATATTTTTCAAATGTGAATGGTGGCAAAAAAAATCATTTTGGTTTTATTGAAATATAAAAGTTTAAGGCATGAATGAGTTTTTAAAAATCCAGTTACTACTTTAGGATAAAAGTGTAAAATTTGAAAATAAAAATGTGTAGAAAGATCTAAAATCTAATAGAATATTCAAATGATTATGTATATGGGGAAAATGATGTTTTGAGAGGAAATAGAATACCATTTGACACAACTGGATGCATACTGGAGGTACCTAGGGTCTTCTAAGCTCTGCTGACAATCATCATGGAAAGCTTTTCTTTTTATGTGTATGCACTAAGTTATGGTCATAGTAGTGATAAATTGCATTATATTGCTGGCTACCTTTGAGCTGGATAGAAATGTATGTAAAATGATGCTGTCGATCTCTTAATTTGTCTTTTCTCATTTTGGCTCTTTAGCACAATGGTTCACTCTATCCTGAAAATAAGAGAGAGACAATTTGCAGATAATTTGCTAACCCAAGTTCTATTTTTTTTCCAC